AAACTATCCCCCGGCTAAACCCTGCGGCTTGGTTGTTTTTACAATTTTCAAAATAAAACAGACACTTTCCTAAAAGGCCGATTCAGGAGTTGTAGAAGTGTCAAAGTCTTATTGTGCTGTCTTTTCCAGATATCTCACATTTGGTGATTCTTATCCACCTCCTGACGCTGAAAAGTACTCTAATGTGCTTTTACTTTACAGAATAAAGCGAGTCCAGACTGCAACTCAAAGAGACCCCTAACAATAGATAAAACTAGGTGACTTGTTTTTCAAAGCCAACATCCTATCTTATCAACTCTTATCCTCTTTCCCAGTCTGTTTTTATTAATCCGTCTCTCTTTTACCTGTTTTGGTAAAGTAATCATTACACTGAGAGGGGGAGTGGCTGGGTTCAGTTTTCAGCCGGTGTGTAAAGGTGTGTGGGATTGGCTGGTAAATCAAGGCAATGAAAGTCTTGTGCGGGCGAAGAAAAAAAACAAAATCAAAATACCACATCAGTGGGTAAAAATCCATAGGAGTCGAGCAGGATGAGGGACTCCACCATCTCAGGATACAAAGCGCTGAACTGCGGAGAACGCCACACGCACGGTGATGCCCCAACGTACGACGGTCTTATCCAAACTCCATCATGAGTTCTGATGTAGTAAATCACTTACCATGCCGCCTATGTTACCGCCTGAAATGAGAAGAAGAAAATGATCAGAGTGCACTGAGGGCGCCGCTCTCCGGCTTCTGCTGCTCGTCTGTGGCTGCACTCACCCATGCTGTGGCCTATGATGGTGAATTTGCTCCACTGCAGAGCTGCGGGAGTAATTTCACACATCATCAACCTGGTTCAGTATCTCATCACCAAACACTGAGACCATTCTGAGTCCAAGGGAGCCGTGGCTGCTGTGAAGAAGCTCCGGCGACACGCTTTATAACGGCTCGCTGAAATATTCATCTTCTGGACACGCTTATGCGTCACGTGTTATTAAATTCAAGGAAAACCACAAAGCGGAACTTCCTCACTGGAGCGATTTCTACCATGGTGGAGGAGAGTGGGTATGCATTTCTGACTGTTATGAACCTAGCTGTCATAAAATAGTGACATGCATGAGCAAACAACAACTACGAAGTGAAAAAACTTCCACTCAGATGTCACATGACACGGCTCAAACATAAGCTCGGGAAGCGGCTTATGGCCCTTCCCGTTGGATGATATATGACTTTTCTCCATTCAAACCTGGCCGAGTTGCTTTTAAGATGATAAATTCTTACATAAAAAAAGCTTCTACTGCCATCTTCAGGCTAAAACAAACAGAAAAAACACTCAGACGCTATTTAAGTTGGAGGCTGGAAATGTATGCACTGTTTACAAGTAATGCAACAGGAAAAAAAGAAAAGCCGATCACTAACACACTAATAATTGGTGGCTGATAGCTGCTTTGTAACTCCCATGAGTCACTTACACATTTAAAGTACTACATTACCCCGGTAACCATGGGAACTGCAGTATCCACACACCTATAGGGTTAACGAAACTCTTAGCTCTTATCAAACACAAAAAGTGGTGGACATTGGCAGGGAAAATCTGAAATTCTCTTGTGATGTTAAATTCTACCAGAAATGTTAAAAAGGTTCAACAGATACAAGATAACATGCGTTAGAAAACAATCACGCACCGTCAATGACCCTGCGTACGTCCATCACGTATGAAGGGAAAGCGTACAGAACCCCAGCGGGCCGATGGGAGGAGAGGCCGTGACCCGCCAGGTCAAACGCCACGTATCTACACTCTGGTGAAAGGATGGAGAAAAACAGTGTTGTCTTTCTTTCAAAAACAAAAAAATATGTGTATTTGTACTGATAGCTGAAGGGACAGAGCATAAAAGCTTGTCACAGAGATCCTAAGAAATTAATTTGAAAAGTAGATTTTTTTTAAAAGGTGAAAAAAACACCAATACGTTGTTGATATTTGCAGAAAAAGGTTAAAATTCTTGCCGCCTGCTCTCCACACTGAGGCTGAACATGGTGATGAATTAGAGGAAGGGAAGATTAAGTTTTCTTGTGGGGAAAAAAGCTTGTGGTTTCTAAGCATATATGGGGAACAAAATAAGGTTTATGTGAGCGGTGGGACAGAAAGATTTGCTCTGGGAGCGGTTACCTTTTGGTAGAAGTGGAAGGAGGGTGTTGAATGTGCCGCAGTTGTCCGCCCAGCCGTGCAGGCACAGAACCGGATGGCCATGATCTGGACCCCAGACCTTACCTCTGATCTCGCCCCACGGAACCGGGATAGAGAGCTCTGAAACTGGATGGAGAAAAGAAGCTTATTTTATTCAGATGCTTTCCTGATTTTACAGAAAAGGGTCATCAACCACTCACTCAAAATCTCCAAGGCAACAGGTTTTTTTTTTTAAAGGGATATCAAGGATTTCTGTCTTTGAAGGGATTTTCAAGAGTACCCTGTTAAAGTTTGGGATGGATGCAGGACAATGGATTATTACATTTTAGGGGGTCTGTACCTCTTACCTCTGTAGGTCAACAGGAGGAAAACTTTCACAATTGTAAACCAGAGGTTTGACTGTTATAGCTTACTTATTTTTCTCCAAGTCAACAGACAATTTTCGAACATTTTTACCTCAAGTCTGTGTTATGGAGTGCAACAACTTCGTAACACTAATATTTAGAAACGAACACAATAACTTTTTTGTTTAACAAACGAAATAACATGTTGAATAAGATAGTGGACACAATGTCTTCTGTGAGTCATCAAGTTCAAAAGCGAGCAGACACTTGAGAAAGTAGTAGATTACCTGCTTGTTTCACTGAACTGGATGCCATGTGTCTGACGCCTTTCAAAGCTTGTATCATGTTAGAGAATGCCCTTTATTGAAAATAGCACGCCACCCTATTTAAAAAAAACTTTCGAAACAAAAACAAAAGTGGGGAACACTTCTTTTTCAGCCCCTTTTCACGTTCGCCGGTGTTTTCCGGGTATTGAACGCACCATGAGGTCAGTTTAAGCTGCTATTGGATAGCCTCCGGAGTGATACGAGCATCTGAGCCAATCAGCATTTAGAAGAGGAGGGACTTACCTTTCACCCAATGCGATGTCAAGCTTTAACCAGTAGAGGGCACGTTCAGCACCCGCTTAGGATCCAGCATCATTATCACAGGTGTATCAAATGGAAGAACCATAAAGATTACGATATAATATTACAATTTTTTTTTTTTTAAAGGCAATGGATTTAATAGACATTTCAATTGTGCTTTCCAACTTTACTGGCCACTGTAATAAATGCGAGAAAACACTAGTCCAAGGGGGTGGTTTTCAGGTTTTGTGAGATGTGTTGTATTTATTCAAGTTTCCCCCCTCTCGTGGCTTCATTCCTTGTCTGATCGTTGCTGTACACTGCTACATGCTACCCGGCCATATTCATATTGTCAATGTGTCTTGTGCTTCTTTTCAAGGTTTGGTTTTGGTTTCAAGTTTTTGTGTCCTTTTTGTGTTTTTATGTTCCCTTTTTTGGTTTAGCCTTCTTTCTGGTTTAGTTTTAACCTTTTCAAGCCCACCCTTTGTTTTCTTTATAATAAGAGCCATAGCCATGTTCAGATTGTACAATAATTAAACTTATGAAAAGCCTCACAATGATTTATCAATCAGAGATGTTGGCATCAGAAATGCTTAAATCCAGGTTGGTCTTTATTTAAGTTGTGATCATTGGACATGCGATCTTCCTCAAAGAAATTAATTATAATGAGTCTGAAATAAAACAACAGCTGTAAAGGGAACACTTGAGAACTATTTAACGCTCTCATATGAATCAGAACGGTATTTAAAAAATCATTCAAAACCATACAATAAAAATGGTATGGTAAATAATTTGTCTTTTCTTTCACATTACTTACACATTTGTTTTTATCTAATCACTATATTGGTGTTTTTACAAATAATCCTCTTAAAAAAAAAAAAAACAATTCTATCAAAGAATAAATTTAAAAACTATAATAAATACACCCTGACCAAATGTAATTATCTTTCTTTCTTTTTAAATAAATTATTCAGAACAATTTAAGAAAAGCTATGAGAAAAACTAAAAAGGATTGTAAATCTCTCAAACCCATTTTAGTAGGTAGCTGACTCATCCAGGATTTCAACTAGGAATCAAAAGAGAATCTGATCTATAAAACAACATCTTAACTTGAATGACACAGAAAAAGCAGCAATTTACCCAGAAAAACAAATATCTCCAGTGTAAGATACAAATCACCTGTCGAAAAATAACAAATGAGTTCATACATTTTGATGATGCAAGTGGTTTGACATCATGCCAGCCTATTTTACACGCATTGTGTGATATGATCTGGGAAAAAGGGATTACAAAAAATTGGCGCTGGTTTAGAATAAACAATTAAGCTGCTGGTGCGATACAGCCTCTGCATCCCGCATGAACGTGCACATTTTTGTGATATGGAATGTTTTCTTTTTTTGCACTGATACAAGAGAAAAAAACACAGACACTTCCTTACCTGTTTTCTGTGGATTTTCTGCATTATTTCTCCCTTTTGGCAAAATGTATTTGCATCAGTTTCACACCATGAGCTGCATTTGTACACATCATAAGAATAGAAAACAGATAATAAGACATCTTGCACATCCATTCAACAGCAGCAACTTCCAAGTTTAAGGAGGAATCAACAGCTCTCTGTACATATTGATTACATTATGCAACATTATGCATTTCCTGCCCACACACCCAAACACATATGCACACACGCCTATGAGCAATTTTCTGTATTTGAAGTAATATCATGATAATTTCATTAAAGACGGGGATAGTGTTTTAGCAGAACATTGACAGATAAACAAAATCCTTCACCCCAAAAGTAACGAGTTGACTCATTGATTAAGCAGAGAGGTGCTGAGAACATGTTAAGAGACATGTAGTGAGAGAGGTGGACTGATGGGAGTTGGAAAAATTTGGTGGCAGGACAGAGGGAGGGAGTATATAAGGTCAGCTTTGAGGGGGAAAGTCAAGCCAAGAAGAATCAGGGATAACCACACAGGATATTTCACGCTACCGTCCAGGTAGGTCATGCCCTCTTTTATTTGTTTTATCTCTGAATTTGTAATAAAAAAAACAGCTGCTTGAGACCACGTTGGCAAATAATGAAACTTGTTTTGTTGACAAACACGGGCACAAAAGCATATATAGAAAACAGTAATCCACAACGGTGGCAAGAGAGTGATAAAAAACAGGTAATAGGTTTTTAAAAAATTCTTCCCAGGTTTGATTTGATTTAATATTCATGGTGCAAAGGAACTGTCCTTGTGACATGAGGTGGCATATTAAAATCTGAAGTTTGCTGAATTCGAACTCCCAATTCCCAAAGAACTCTTTACCCTCACAAAATTGATGCTTACTGAATAAACATAACAGAAGACTGTCCTTAAGGACAAAAACTGTATTCAAAAGAAAAATCTTCTCTCTTTTTTTACTTGCTTTTAGTGGCCCTGAAGCAACTTCAAGAGCAAGCCAGCAGTTAATTTGATTTAACTTGGAATAGATTATACAGAGCTTTGGTAAGATTACATTACAGATACACGGAGGGCAAATGAGGTAATGAATCTAACTCTGCCTGGTAATGTGGTGCCCTTGAATAAAGTGGCTCTTGGCTTGAGGCCATCATATCAAACAGTCGAAATGCAGGGCCGAACATTGAGAGAATGCGGTCTGTGTAACCCAGCCGTGTAATAAAGTAGGGAAACTGTAGTTTTTGACCACTTCTTCCTTTTAAAATTTGGAACAATAACTTTTAATTGTGTTTTTATCCATTTCTTCCTGATCAGACTCAATCTCCTGAGATCATGGCAGACTATGAGCTGGTTTTGAAGCACTGGGGTCCAGTGGAAGCTGATTACTCTGCTCACGGGAACCTGGTTCTGACCCGGTTAGTGCCTCTGGAAAAATAGACTTACGCTTATTACTGAAGGAATAAGAATAATTGGTCAGTTTTTCATCGATTGAGCGATTTCTCCCATGTAATTTTTTTCCCTCCGCACACGGCAAAGGAGATTATGACATTAGGATGAAAGTGTTTTTTAAATAAATGCGTTTTGACACAAGTGTTAAAAGCAGTGGATAAAAAAGCAATGAATTTAATAAAATAAAATATCAATTCTAATTAATTGAAGTCAAGAGACACGGAGGATGTCACAATACATTTTTTAAAAAGCCTTTTTGAAAGCCTTTTCAACCCTGTTTTGGATGTATCTGTGACAGCTGGAATACTCCTTTGAAACTGTGTAGTGCTGGTGGTATATTACTGTTTACTCATACTCATCCTTCCCCTCCCAGTTTATTCACAGAGCACCCAGACACCCAGAAGCTTTTCCCCAAGTTTGGCGGTATTGCTTTGGGGGACATGCCTGGTAACGCGGCCATCTCTGCCCACGGAGCCACCGTGTTGAAGAAACTTGGCGAGCTGCTGAAGGCCAAAGGCAACCACGCTTCCATCCTCAAGCCGCTTTCCACCAGCCACGCAACTAAGCATAAGATCCCTCTCAATAACTTCAAGGTGAGGCCGCGTATCCATTGTGTTTCCCTCAGATGGCTCTGTAGCCTTCACATTGCAGTAAAAGCACCATCTACCTTTTTTTTTCTTTTGTGTTTTTGTCTCCCACAGCTGATCACTGAGGTGATTGCTAACGTCATGGCGGAGAAGGCTGGACTCGATGCTGCCGGGCAGCAGGCCCTGAGAAACGTGATGACCACTGTGATCGCTGACATCGACGTCACCTACAAAGAGCTGAACTTCAGCGGCTGAAGTCACACCGGGATTATACGCGCCTTTACTTTTAATGAAAAGCCCCCTTTGCATTCTGTTTGTGAAGTAGTCATGGCACAAAAACTAGTAGTGTTGCTTCCAAAGAACACTTTAATCATCATAAAATTTCCGTTGTAACCTTTAACTAGATTGAATTGTGTATATTTTAGATTTAGTCGATTCTTAACCCAGATTTTTTGAGGTGTAGCTTTAATCTGCTGTAAAAGATCATCTAAATCCACCAATAAATCTCTGACGCTCTTTCTGCTCATTACTTTTGGTCACATCCCAATTTTTTTTCATTTGCTGACATGCTGATGTATTGCTCACCCCATGCAGTTCTTATTTTAGGTGACTGGAGTTCTAAATCAGTGAAAGTACTAGTGCTTCTGTTATTTATAAAACGCAAGGTCATCTCCACTACTAGTTTGAGAGTTCATCAGTTCAGAGATATCGAGTGCCCACAGCTGTGTCACTAAAGACCCTCCCAAAGTGTTCCGTCATGCGATCCATTCTAAAGCGTCTTTTGTCCCTCACATGTGGGAAATTATACTTATCATTCCCTCTGCATCCCGTAAATGTACAACCCTCTACTTATAAAAAAAAAGCTCTGAACTCACATGAGGTCACACAAGTTAAAAGCATTTTCATATTTTGTTTTCCCCCTCATATTCCATTCCACACGACAAACGCATCAGCTAAGTTAAATGATTTGGTACAAACTTTTGTAGCAGAAATATTAATACAAAATATGCTCATAAGTTTAATCACAGAGTCTTAATTGGAGCATCTTGAGTCATGAAATATCAATAAGGTGAATTTAAAAACAACAGATATACGGACAAAATCTCAAAAGGTTTTCCTTCCCATTATTTGAACGTACTTCATTGTGATTCTATTATTTGATTCCATTATTTGATTGACTGAACATTCAGCATTATTTCTGAAAGTTCTGAAAGAATAGCTAGATTTAAAGGTGAAGAAACTAGATCCAAACTCCCCTTTGTCATAACCACAAATTTTAAATGGAACTTTGGACTCTGACAGGAGAAGTCTCTTCGGAAAGTGTTGCCAACATCAACTATAACGAAGGGGAATTGAGCCAAACAGGTTGAGCTACCATAAATGTTAAGCTTACATGAAGATATAAAGAAAAACTGGATGAAAAGTGAACATGAATGAATGAAATTCCATGTAGTTGCTCAATATTTTGTTGATAAATCCAAAATCACAACCACATGCACCCAAAGCATAATGTGCTTTTTGGCTGTTTTTAATGCTGTCCTTGTCTAATAAACCCCCCCCCCAAACCAGCGTTTGTCTGAATAAGGCCGATGCGTTCACGTGCTTCTGTCTGTGGGGACGGACGTACAGTTGGTGGCAGAGCCAAGAGACTCTGATATCGGCGTTATCACTGACATTCCGCACTACAGATGACTGTGTGCATGTCCTCGCAGTTCCTCTCTCGATGCCAAAACATTGTTTGGTTAACTTGTCCGGCAGACGTATACCGGGGGTGATAACCTTTTATTACCGCATGCAGACGTGACACCAGGCACATCTCATCTGGAGAGACACACCTTTCCTCCTCCTCTGAAGTCTGACAGAGCTGAGGTCACACACATGCCGACGTTAACGGACTGTGACGAGCTGTTTTTTTTCGAAGAGAACTTTTTTTTTCTGCAAAGGTATCACCTTGAATGATTTCTGCGGAAATTCCTTCCAACAGAGGAGACACCAGTGACGATCTAAGAGAAACAATACGATGATGGCCAGTCCATCGTTATATAGTGAGGATTGTTAATAACTAAGCAACTCACAAGAGCTGCCAATAATCCAAAGCATGGGCTACCCAGCAGGTTCAGCTCTGGGTCAGGCCATTCAGAGTTCAGCAAAACAGTAAATTAAAAAAACAAACATGCAACCTACACAACCTATCTTAGACTCTACGGGCCGTAAATGCTGAAGTTTCTGATGTATTTCCAATAGCCTGTTTATTCAAAAAAGAGCGTAGCGAGACCATTTAGACGAAGGCATTTCTGGAACAACTTCCCTCCGGCTTTAACTGCAATGTTTTTACCACCGGACGTAAACCAGAACACCTCACACCAAAGCTGGAGTTCTGCGGTGGAGGACAGATCAGCCACTCAGTCACTGAGTTGGTCGTGAACTCGTCCGTGTGTCGAGAGTATTCTCGGGACAAATGTGAGGCGGCCTGACAGTCAAAGCTTCACGGTGAGAATGATTCCAGGAAGAGAAGCAAATCCGCGACAGAATGTCAGAAAAGGAATCAGCGATGCAATGCCCCCAAGTCAAAACCTCAAGCTCCAACTGTCATGCTGTGACCAGACCTTAACTAAACCATAAATTAAAAAAATATTCCCCTGAAAATTGACCTATGACATCATCTGCAGTGTGCAGTGGTTTGCCTCTCTAGGCTGCTGGAATCAATAACTCTTTTTGATAAAGCAATGACGAAATGTGATATGTCATGTGTTCTCGCTAACCATGTGGGTGTTTGCCTGATGTAGACCTCGTGAAAAAGGGCGATATGTCCTTTATCTCTCTGTATGCTCATCACCTCTCTGGCCTGAAATGAAAAGAAACTGTGACTATAAACAGTAAGTGAATCGTTCGGTCTAATCGTTTTAAGTGAATGGTCAAGCGCTTCCGTCAGTTATGGCACGACAAGATCCAAGGGTCTGGACTTTTGTCCCCATGTGCCCTTTCACACATTGAATAAAGAGCCAAGAAAATATAGGACATGTTATCATTACTGGAAACAGCCCACAGTGGGTGGGATGGCACTTTTTTTTGGTGTGAAAATCTGCATTTTAGTGTTTTGGAAGGTGGACGGGGCAGCTGGCTCAGTCTGTGATAACTGATCTCGAGTCCGTATCAACAGATGCGTGACAAGACCTTCTTTTGACCCGTTGGTCAGCCGGAGTTTGCGTCCAGGCTGACTCATCCGGACTTTTTTTATGTTTTCACAAACAGCTCCTCTGGGAAAATGCGAAGGCTGCGACGCATGCGAACACAAACACCTTCGAAGTGCCAAGAAAAATCTAATATATCAGTGGCTGAGGTCCCTCACGTCCGCCGCCTCCTGATTGTCCTCACTTGAAGCCATGACAGTGTTTGATTAACCTGTATGATGGCCAACTTCCATGATGGTGATAACCTGACTATTAATAGTGTGCGCATGCAGACGTGGCACTTGGCATAGTGACTCCGGTCACACTCTGGGGGACATAGTTCTGCCTCCTTGGTCCCATCACCTCTAAAGTGTTTGACATATTCAGCAGCACAGCAGACAAATAATGAGCTCACTTAGGTTTTATTTTTCTCCACGCACACACAAACATACAAAAATATATAATGTACAGTCTTATTATAATAACAAACATTGAAATATGACATCAGACAAGCATTAGAGTAATTAATAACAACGGTATGGACAAATAAATATCTAAACAAGAGCTAATCAAAGCTTGGCTGGTCGATGTCGGGGGGCAGAGTGCATTTAGTCAGGTTTGACAGGTACAGCGCCGTGGTGATGGGAACAAGGCCGGCCGCCACCTTCAGGACAGTCAGCAGCCTGTCTGCAGCACTGCTCACCCCTTCTGGTGTCTGGGAGGGGAGGAACAATAAACAGAGCAGCTTTTTAAAGAAACGCAAATGTGTACCAGATTTATATTTAAGGTTTTAACGTTAATGACAGCAAAATAAAATGAAGAAAGACAGGACGCAGGCTGAGAATCAAGAGCATTTTTAAAGATAGAAAATGAAACTAACACAATCTCAAGGGTGTCCCATGTTGATGTGTCACAGTATCGATGCACAAATAAAGAAGATTTATCTAGGTTTGACTATTATGGGTCAAACTCGAGCTAATGACGGTGTTCTTTAGAGCTCTGATAGTTCCGACAGTATGGCTGTGCACACTCAATTGTTCAAAAACAAAAAAATAAAGACATGTGCAAAGTAAAGTAACAAATTCTAATGCCATCCGTTCATGTCAAAACTTGAGTGGATTCTTCTGATGCAACCTCAAATTAATATGTGACTTTAGAGAGATTTTTTAGGGGTCGTCGCTCTGAAATTGTCTGTGACAAATACCTGATCCTCTGCAAACAACAGGGGGCAGTGGAGCGATGCGGCCAGTTTCCTGATGGCATCCAGGCGCTCCACGGGGGCCGAAGCACTGCGAGCTATTAAAGACAGATGCATGAAAAGGTCAGCAAGCCCTAGAGAGCTGTGCTTATACATTTTCTAACAGCGTAAAGGAGGAGGGACAAGTTTAAAAGCATGTATTGTGAATAAGGTGACACCATTTCAAATTGACTGGATCTCATGTTCTCTTTTACGTCTTTGCGTTCGTCTGATTGAGAGTGTGAGAGCGAGAGAGCAGAGGGCAAATCACTGAACCGGCTGCTTTACCATTCGTGACCATGAAACAGGCTTTTCCAAGGAAATAACCAGGGTCCAGATGTTTCACAGAGGTTTCTGCTGACTGGAAGCTATGACGAAACAAAATAAAAAATATGCAGAGAATGAACCGTTTTAATCACACATCCAGCATGGTAGACACACTAAGGCAAACAACAGGGACTCTTTCACTTCTCTAAGGCACAACCTTTTTTGGTTTTACATTCAGCTCATGTTAGGCTTTCAGTGGACATGACTAGACATTTCTGTTTTGTGTTCAGGTGGAATAAATAATTACCTGAGCTCTGACGCCAGGTTGATGATGAACACGACCAGGTCTATTCGTGGGCGGTTCTCATCGTTCTCCATAGGCAAAGGAAGGCTCTTAGCCAGTCTCCTGTTGGATAGTAATGAAATTTTGTCAGGTTCATATATTCACAGATATGGAATGAAGAGAAGCATGTATAGTTACAAATTAAATGGAATTCAACTTCTTTATCCCAAATAGGAAGTCCAATATGCCTTTCCCCTCACTGCATACATTTACTGATTCTGGCTTGAATTCATTCCTGTTTCTGTATTGCAGAACAAAACCCAGTGTTGGGATGAGCTGGTTGAATTATTATACAGTATTAAATAAATTACCTTATGAAACAGTTTTTAAAAGACTATTTAGCTGATAGTTCGATGCTGAAGTTAAGACAACAACTGTAATTCACCAATTTGGAACTGTGGATTGCTCTGATAGACAGGCCCACCCCACCTCAAAACAAAGATACTAACTAACTGTCAGGAGCCACATCATATTTTTTGCCATTTTGCTTCAAAGAATCCATTTTTTCCCTGTTAATATTTTAGTAGTCTGAAGCAATAGTTCTAAAGGGTCTATAACGGTCTTTCAAACTTGTTTTCTTTGGACCAAATTAGCAGATTTTTGCTAACCTTTTGAGTTCAGTCCTGACTTGTGTGTTTAAGTTAATCTAAAGACAAGGCAATGAAATTGTGTCTACAAATAAAAACTATTTATACAAGAACCCATTTCAGACTTTGAGTTTTGGCTTATTTGTTACTACCAGCATGTTAAAAAGAGACAATCCATTCCCATTTCCTCACTTCTGTGAGAAACACCAAAGACAACACAGCCTGACTGGTCGTGTTTTGAGCACTAACAAAGTGATACACAAAGAATTAATCAATTAATTAAGAATTTACTTTGCATATCTCAGCACAGTGCTCAAGTCTGGACATGGTTCCAGTGGTTAGCACTATGCATCCGGCCCGGGCATTCTGACGTCCTCCCACCAACCTAAAAAATGCATCTCAAATAAACTGGTGATTCGAAAATGACTTTTGGAGTCTCATCAATCTCTGTTGACCTGAGATGGACTGGTGAACCTGGCCATGGTGTACCCCCATTTTTATAACAGCTGGGATAGGCTCCAGCACACCCTGTGAATAAGGCATACAATGTGTCCATCCTGTGATCCTTTTTTTGTTTGTATATTTGTACACTGCCTTCTTTCAAGGAAAACTTACGAGAAGAGTCAGGCTCTACTCTTTGCAATATGGATTGTATCGTGAAGATAAACAGATTTTTTAAAAAGACACTGCGTTGGGCTGACCTCAGCCTGTTACAGGATGTAGAGAGCGATACTTACACGTTCACAGTGACACCAGTCTCCTCCACCAGAGCATCTGCTAAACTCTGCTGAAAGTGCTCCTCACTCTCCACCAGCTGCAGGAAAGACATTTCAACACTAAACCAGATGTTCGCACAGTGTCAAAGGACTGTCACGCACCGCCACGATAAAGCAAAGGAAGAACAATGGATAGTACAGTATCTGTATTTGGATAAACCGCAGCGTTTGGCTACTCTGAGGCATCTGAGGAAATGTTTGCCAAATGATAATGGGATGAGCTGTTGCCTGCTCTATCGAGCGCTATGGACAACATAATAAGCATTATGCTCGTGATAACAATGTTCATATAGCCGCCGCTTACAGAGTTACGGGTTGTAAAACAAACTCACCAAGATATTTGCCGTGTTCAGACCTGGGAGCTTACTAAATGGCTTCAGCAGCGACATTTTCTTTATACATATAACCGAAAAAGCACCCTCAGCTTCGAAAACATAACAAAACTAACTCGGCGACTGTTCATCCAACTCGCGCTTCTTTTCGGATTGTGCGTCTGACGTCATCACGCGGACGTTCTTAGGGTGGTTACTTTACGCCCCCTACTGGACGCCTTCTTATTCACAAATAAACTGGACGGCAACTCGTTTTTTTGTTGTTGTTACAGTATATCTACGATATATCGATCCAAGAATAGAGCAAAGCGCCAGAAATTTACTGTAAATACAGCTTTTGGCTGACTATAAATATATGATCAAACTCATTTATGCATTCACGAAAATGTCTTTTTTTAGACAGTGACATTCCCCTTGAAATGAAATAACTCAAACTTATGAAATAAACAGTAGCTCCTCCACAGCAAAAAATGCTTAATTGAAGCTGTAAAAAAGTAACCTTAGAAATTTGTATTGCATGTATTTTAACAGAATATTTTATTTACTTGATGGCAGCATCACAGATTAGAACCCCGACCTCACCCTCCTTCCCGAATAAGTCCACGCTGTATTACAGCAAAGTCTCAGTGCGTAAATATACACGTCATTTATAATCACTTGCAATATTCTCTCCAGATCTGAGTGGAAATATTTAGATTACATCTTTCAGGAGGACAAGTGAGTTTATTTTTAAAGTACAAGCTCATCACTGCATCTTGAGGGATGTGTCAGATTCCACCCAAATAACATTGTGATGCTCGAAGGCGGCAAGTAAAACACAAATGTTAGATGTGCCTCCAATCAGTCACAGTTCCTTTCTAGTAGCACTGCGCCACACCTGCTGAATCTTCAGTTCCTAATGGAACAGGGAAACTGAATTAAGTTACAGGTCCAACTAAAAAGAAAAAAAAAAAAAAAAGAAAAAAAAAACAACAGGAAAAAAAAAAAAAAATCAAATCTTGCTGTTTTTTTAAACTCTCTCTTCCCTTGTCACTGTGTAAATAACTGTACATTAAGGTCAACAAGATGACATAAAAATGACAACTGTACCGATCCCGTGTCAAGTCTCGCCTCAATCTTTTAAAATTGTCTGACGTTAGTCCCCTCTTGTCCACCATCCACATGTACATGTCCCACTTTGAACATGCATACACAGCATTGACAGACAAATAAACTGGCACCAGCAAACTCATCACCCCATGCTCCTCCTTTTTCCTTAATGACAACTCCAAATCAAAAACAACAGAACTGTTCATATCTCGCCGGACTCTCGCTCTTCGGAACTGGAGCGTCGGTCCCGCTCAAATGACAGGGACCTCTCCCGTTCCCTGCCCCTGGCTGTGTCCGGAGACATGGACCTCTCCTTGTCCTCCCACTCTCCGTGATTCGCCCTGTCTTCACGCCACCCCTCTCCCGCTGCTGCGCCCTCTCTCCATCTCTCCTGGGAGGGAGAGCCCTCTCTTTCACGGGTGTGAGTTGATCTGTCTCTGGAGGACCTGGAGAGGAAGAAATATATATAAAAATAAGTAAAAGAATTGACCACAAATTAAACATCTTAGACAAAACCTCTCCAGTACTTGTTTGGACCATAGGAACTTGTCTTATCATAATAACTTTTTTATAGTCTTGAAGGCCTGAAAGAGGAGGTCCATAACTGTTAAGAACTATGTTTGAGTTGCTTGCATTTTCCTGCTGTTTGATGTTTGTAAATGCGGTTCATTGGGTCACAAATGACTGTTTTAAAACTACATTTATAACAGAAGGACCAAGTCGATGAATAAACACTGTAAAGTTTCAGTGTCACCAGCCTGGACTGCTGATTTTTGCGTTTTGGCCTTTAGAGATTCCGGTTAAATCTCGATAGTGTGTTCACAATAGGCGACTCTTGCTTACACCCTTATTGGCAAACTCAGGCATATTGTTTGGAAAAACATTAATCATCGTTTTATGTGTAGTCCAACTGTCTGGAGGGAGATTCAAATGACAAGCTGGCAGGGCTTTGAGGCTAGATGATGACACGGTTGGCTGTCTGTGGAAATCAAGTTAGTTCTCAGTTGGAGCTAAGGTTTAACTACATCTGTGGTGGCTTTGGCACCGAGCAGCCCAGAAGCAGAGCCCAACAGTCAGCAGAAACAAAGGCGATGATGAAAAGGAGTTTAACCAGATGTGTGATTGCTGAACAATGGCCACACCTCTTCTTTTTGTGCCTGTGGGAGTGGGAGCGCGAGCGGTGTCTCTCCTTGTGCCGATGCTTCCTCTCTCGCTCCCTGTCCCGCTCCGGCCCCTCTTCTCTGGGGCGGGATGTGCGATGGCGTCTTGAGTGATGAGACGAGGAGCCTCCTCCGTCCCTGGGTAGACGTTTGCGTTTGAATAACACATGACGTTGTTTTATTTGGTCATTTCAGATGTAAATCCCCCTGACGTCATGCAAAAACAATTTAGGGGGCAGCCGACATACCTGTATCTCTCTCCGCTTCTTGATCTCGACCTGGGGCAGTAAGAGACATAAGAAACAGAGGGTTACATATCCAAATGACCAGGAGCTTGTTGCTGTGGCAGAAGCTGACCGCGTCCTACCTCCTCCTCTCCCGCTCTCGTTCCCTCTCCCACACCCTCTGTCGCTCCTTCTCTCTTTCGCGCTCCCGCTCCAACTCCCACTGTCGCTCTTTTTCCTCTTCTTTCTCGCGCTCCTCTCGTCGCTTCATGCGCATTCTCTCCTGCTTCTCCACGACCGCTTTCTGGAATCCAGGATTGGGAAGAAACCGCGACAACATGTTAAGAGCCCGTTGGGGCCGACGTGGCTCCGGCGGTTCGGCTGCCGGCGCGGCACCCTCACCCTCAGCTTTTCCAGCTTCTCGCGGATTTCGATGAAGCCGAGGTGGAGTTTGCCCCCAAAGTGGTCCGCCAGGCGGCGGTCGTTGTCATGGAGGCCCAAGTAGGCCGAGCACACCTCACACACCCGTAGCTTTTGCTGCTGAAAGCTGGAGGCCGGCATCGAGTTCCTGTACACGTCCTGCAGAAATGAAGGTTTTATACTTCAGGATTCATTCTTCATGCATTCTTTGCGAGCTTAAGCTGTTGCATTAAAATCTCAATATTTCATACTGAGATCTTATAGCTAAATAAGATTGCACACGCGGTGTGAGCATTTTTTTTTAATGACAAAAGATCGCTTCTGACCTCTGCTTCCTTCTTTAAGGCTCTGGTCTTCTCCACCTTTTCCAGAACCTGCTGAGCTTCATCCACGTTGCCCTCACCCCCAAGTTGCTCGGCTTTGGCCAGCAACTTGCCGATCTCCTCGTTCAGTTCATGGACTCGCTCAGCCTTGTCACGACAGATGATAGAAAAATAATGAGTCCTGACATTCTTGGTAATCGGAAGCTGTAAAACTGTGCTCTGCCCAGGAGACAAATGGCTCAGTGTGATGGAGAGCACAGCACTGCCGGTAATATCGCCAACAGTTACAGCCCGGTGTTGGTCACCTTTGCAGCCACTTCGGCGCTGATCTCATCCTGAGTCTCAGCAAGTCTCTTCTTGGCCAGCTCAGTCCGGCGGTCACAGTCAGCAATGAAAGACTGGAGGTGCTCTGCAGCCTGTGAAAAAAACATCAGATTGATTGGTAATGCACTTCCCCAACATTCTTCCTGCATAGTCATACCTGATTATGTCAGACTGGAAGTAATAGCAATTCATTAATTACTGCTGCAAGGAGCTTGCTTTGGATCAAGGGAGGAAAAAACATAATAAATATCGAAGCATTTGTGTGCAAAACTCACATCAAGTTCAAAGAAGTATTCTTGCTCCTTGGAGGCTATCTCATAATCTGCTCTCAGGGCCAGGTCGTGGACTTTGACACACTCTCCCAGGTCCATTCTCTGTCGGAAAGAGGATGATAAAATCATGTTCTATCGACTCATGATAAATGTTTCTGCTAAAATCCTAAAACTGTTCAGATTTATGGGTCACTGCTTTGGTCATGACTCACCTGTCCTAAATTCGATGCATTAAAGATGCATCGAATTTAGCCTTTTTTTTTGTTGTTGGAGATAGGCAGTAAGTAAAAGCATTTCATAGAGGATAAGACAGAATCTATACATTTATATTATTCTTTTGGACACAATGGAATTTTCCCCTTTTGATAAAGTGATGTGGCTCACAATATGTTGGATCTTTTGATGAATATGCAGCACCACACAACCACATATTCAATAACAAATAAGCAAATCAGCCTGAAATAACATGATCCATTTCCTAACTTTTTTTTTTTTACTTTAACCTATCTGTACAGTGCAGGTGAAACTTTTTTCTAAGGAATAGTCCTCTCACAGTACAGATCCAACAGCAGGACCAAAAATGTCCCTTTTCCCAGCTTACAACCACATGTATGTGTACGTGTTTATCTGCCAAGGCTGACAGAGATTTGGCAACTCTCTTGCTGTTCTTGCATTCAGAGCATAAAAAACAAATACAAAAAAGAACAAATAAATCACCAATTTTCTAAATCTTCAAATTCTCAGTTTATTGTCCATTAAACCCTCCATCTAGAATATTGCTCATTGTCATCACGATGCAATTTAAAATAAAAAAAGTTGCCCCTCCTCTGTAATAATTCACTTTGATTCAAATGATCTGGTATTGTAATAAATATCAGAGACAGAGTCAAGTTGCAGAATGGTCAGACTATGTTTTTTTCTTTAACAGTGAACCCATTATACAGGTTGAAAGGGTTTCTTTTTAGTATGTTTCCCTTTGAGGAGACCAAATGGCTCTCCCCCATTAACAAATCAGGTTACAGATTTCTTGTTCTCTCTTTTTTAAGTCAAGGATATTCTGTGGACTCCAGCCAAACCAAAACAAGCATATTTCTGAAGATGACAATGCTCTCTGTGCAGATATGTGCCACTGTGGTACTCACGGTGCCTGACAGGATGTCATGAGGACATGAATCCAAAAGGTGGCTTTTGCAGACTCGCTCATCTGTGAATTTGATCCTCTGCCGCATGGTGTCCCCTTAAACGGAAGGAGAGCAAATACATGAGAGTTACAGCCATTTGTGTGGAGCTTACTCGTTGAATAAAATGTCTTCTGAAAGACAAAAAAATGAGAATCTTGATAATACAGATGCAGTATCTCGTCGGAGCGGAAGCACACAGTCAGTTGTTCTTGTGTACCGTTAACAGCCCACAAATATATATCTAAACAGGGAAACCTGAAGTTAGCTCTATTTGAACAGCACCCAATACAATGTAAGGAACTGATTTTGAAAAACGTTGAAATAAGAAGAAGTGTACATCTAAGACGGGTTAATATAACTCTTAATTTGTTAAGGATAAGGGGTAGCGTCATAACTAGCCTCGTAAACTCAAACACAACAGGTAGCTTAGCGGCTAGCTTCCTCATGTTAGCTAGCCTGGTTTGTGTCGCGCGCCTCACTGTCACTGACTGGCACTGGCCGATTCGCGTGCTGGCTAATGCTAGCAGCAACCCCGTAGCCCCGTAACGACGTGCCGTTAGCCACACGTCTGGGCAACCGCGGGACTCGCTCACCGTCTCTCCCGGTGCCCATTAGCTGGTCCAGCATCGCTCGCATCTGTGCCTGGGCCGACATGTTTGTGGAACGGGGTGTGAGTCAGTCCTCGCCAGCTGGGGTCCTCACACATGCAGCCTCCTCAACCACAGGCCTCTTCGGCTCCCTCCAACAAGCACGGGCAACTTTTACCACAAAGGAGAAAAAAAGTCCGAGTCCCCTCGAGCCAGCGGGCTGGTCGTGTTTGGGTGTTTGTTCAGTTCACTGGATAGTGCGGCACTTTTGAAGAAGCTAAATGTGACTTTGTGGTGATAAATTGCCTCGGGTCGCCCGAGCAAGTGCAACGTCTATTTGAAAACTGCTCTAGTCCACTGGTCGGGTCGAATCGTGTTGCGAGTTGAGACAGCGGTGACTGAATGTTGTCGGGGCGTTTGATTAGCTAAGTGAAAATGTATGAAAGTAAGAAACAATGTCTGCTGTTAACATAGTATCTAAACGTGTCTCTAGCTAATCAGCTAGAAGTATTCAAGTTTGTTCAATGTCCTCTCTTCCGCCTTGCCAGTTCCTCTTCGTGCGCGTCGCCGCCAAGCGCGCTCACGACTCTCGGCCTCGAGGTTGTGGAGCGGTAAACTTCGCGCGCTGGGTTCGTGACAGTGAAACCTTCTTGCTGTTAGGAAACTCTGTTAAGACATTAACTATGTTATACAGTGAATTTTTCTTTGGGGTATGTTTTTCTCATTCTCATAAACTCCACAGTTGGAATAACTAAACGTTAACTGTGTTTGTTTTTAGTTAACTTATTTTTATTTTGTTTGTTAGGAGCTCTTTTCCCAGTTTGGTTGTGTATTACAAGCTAGCTGTGCAGCAAAGAAGTGTTCAATATATATAAATATATATATATATATATATATAGTTACTATGCTACAGTGAAAATCTCTTCAAATTTAATACGCCCTCCTCGGGTGACGAGTCAGGGCTATACAGGTCCAAGCAAGTTGACGGCGATCTTATGCTTAGTCTGTCTTAAGTCACAGAAACCATTTATCTTAGAACATGATACTCCAACCAATTTACATAAGTGCTTGGCAAATATCTACCGCCCAAAAGCAGTTGGAATAATAAGATAATGGTTAAGATCATGTTGAATATTCAAGGCGACGTTGCTATTTCATCCGTTTCAGTTCTTTAGTGTTTCCAGAACTTTATCCACTATAATGAATTCAGCTGTTAGCATTTGGTACAGCCTCCATTGGCTATATGCTGTTGAAAAGAACAGATGGAAGAATGGAATTAAGGGGAAAAAGGGGTCACTGCTGCTTTTGTCACAGAAGTGACATCTCAAGAGCTGGGCTGGCCAAAGAGGCATGTATTAGTCAAATGAGACGACGTTAATGTTAACTAAGTTAAAAAAAATTCAAATCTCAAAATCAACCATTGGACAGGTGTACCAAGAAATGGGAAGAAATTATTGTTCTTTTGGTAGAAGTTTAGAGTGAAAATAGAGTTGCTTTAAGTAGCAAATCACCGTAGGAATCAGACAACAGTAGAAATCAGAAAAATGTTTAGAACATTTTTACACCAATTCCACAATACTGGACATACTTCAGTCAATATATAACAAGGCTTTCATTTATTTAGTCTCACATCAAAGAGCATTAACAGGTTGAATGAAAATTGTAACTACATCAACTATTTTGGCATTTTTCCCCAAAAATTATCTATCAAAACAGATGTAAATGGCTCAAGCCTTATACTAATTTCAGTCATGAATAATATTAAATTAATGCACACGTTGCATGAAATAAATAAAACATTTATAATGCTAATCCAACATGGTTTCAGGTGCATTTCAATCAGTGTCCTGAGGGATATAGCTATAATTGAACTAGGAATTTATATAAATGGGCTGGATCTCTGGAGAATCTATCACCTGTTAGGGATTTAGCTTGTTTAAATTGCGAACGGGGTGGGGTTTACTCAGACATTTGAGAAAAGTCACAGTGAGATCACACAAACACAAAGATTTGTAAAATGATATTGGTTTTAAGGCTGCAGAATAGCTGCTCATTTGTACAGGACTGTAAAGAAAACGTTTTTTTTTTGCACTGAACAACATTTGGTTCCTCATCTCTTTGCCAGTTTAGATAGAATACATTCATGGCATTTTGCATTTAATCTCTGTATCTTTGGCTAACTTCAGCCTTACATGATTTCTTTATTGTAGCTCAAAAGTGGGTGATATTATTTTTCCTTTTTTGTGTTTATATATAATCTAATTGCTGGTTTTAGATTGAACTTAACTGCTGAAATAAATTAAGTAATACTTCCAGTCTTTTATGAAGATACATGACATCTGACTGGTGGTCTTACTTTTTTGCCAGGTGGTTTAAATAAAAGTGCATCAGATGAAAAAAACATAAGCAAACTTTCTGATTTTTTAGCCTATAAACACAGAGAAACAATGAAGTGCAAAAGTTTTGGAATTGCTATTTTTAAAGCTGAACTTCAACAATAATGTTATAAGGAAGTTTGAATTTAAGTTCCATTGTATTTCATGCTTTTCACAGTAAGTTACTGTTTACTTTATAATCACGTGTGTTCTACCAATGTGGTTTATTCACATGAAAAATAAAAATATAGATAATGGACTTTGTGTGGTCCTGTTCCATAGCACTGGCATTGGGATCAGTTTGTGCCATTTATACATAGGCCTCAGAGCTTTTCTGTCAAACTACCAGCAACGCCCATCAAGTCAACCCAGCCCAAACAGAATCGTCCTACTGCGGTCTCGAAAAAAATGGCGACGAGTGTACTGCGGTTCTCCCTGCGACTCTCAACCAGGAAAACAGGCATACTAAGCCGTAACCCTGGATTGAAAACATCAGCCATACCCAGGACGACTCAAAGCAGGACTGCGGTGTCCACGCCGTCCGGGGCAATCCTTCCAAAACCAGATAAAGTGAGTGTCTCATATTTTTCGCTTAGTTGTACACTATACGGAACAAGAACCAATGGGCGGTACTTATTTAATGACACATTTGATGGCCAATAGTATGGTAGTATATACAGAGGTTTTGTCAAGTCAGCCAATGAACGGGACCTTTCCGAAACGACGGCACTTGCAGGAAGTAATTACCCCTAATATTATAAATATAAGTACATTTATTGATTTTTAAAGAAAGGTTATGTTGTGTATTGGAATTTAGAACTTGCCCATTGAACAACCCATATTAGAGTGGGATGGTGTTTGATCCAAATTTTATATTTGTACATAAATCGTGATTTTTTCAGGCGGCCGATATCGAAGCAATTCGGTGGCAACCATGAGTTATATGTCCCCTAATTTGTAAACTTAGACTTTTGAAAAGGTGTTTCGCAGTCCTAAACCAATCATATTGCCGAAATTAAAGTTAAGGGTAATGTCTTATCAGTGGCAACCCCAGTATGCAGAAATAGGATGGTGAAAAGCTCCAACCCAAGGCCATAGGCTGATCCAAATACTGTATATAATGGAGGAGACTTTGAAAGACTCATAGGTGGATAACCTCGTTACACATTGTTGTCTGTCATCTCATTTGCACAACACAAAGTGTGGGTTTCTTTCTGGTTCAGCAAAGCCAGCACGTCAAACTGAAGTGGAGCTAAGGCTTCCAACTTTCAATTATTCTTGGATTCTTTTGCAGACGCCTTTTGGCCTCATCCGCATGACAGCAGTGGTGGTGCCTTTCCTGTATGTGGGAACTCTGATAAGCAAGAACTTTGCTGCTCTCTTGGAGGAGCATGATATCTTTGTTCCTGAAGATGATGATGACGACGACTGAGTAAGGCTGGTAGCATAATAAAAGGTAAAGGCATTTGCGTCCGTCAGCCACACCTTAAATACTGTTTAAACATAGTTGATGGGCCCTTTGATTTGTAATCTCTCTTTGTGAGGGGTGTGTCTGAAACATGTGTTCAGGCATGTGTAGAACCCGGTCTTCATGTGTTACAGGGTGCAGTTTGTAGCCATTCACTGATGATGACTTTCAAATTTCCATCCCCAGGATCCTCTGCAATATCAACCACAAGAATACCAGCAGGCCTAAAGAAGAAGAGGAAGATGGAGAAGATGGGGCTCCTTAACTTCTTAAAGAACCATCTAGCTCCACCCTTATCCTACCTCTCTCCTCTGATATTTATCCTGTTTTCAGAAATCTCATATCATGTGAGGCTGTCAGAAATATGACCGATGCCTTCACTCTTGTTTGCATGTTTGTCTGCTGAATAAACTGAATCAATTACACATGGAAAACGTTGTTCTTTAATGTTAACAGTCATGACATCATGAAACAAAGACGGAATGATATTTAGTAAATGCCGTTTTGTTGGCAGCCTGGCTTTGTCCATTTCAGGAGTTAATGAAGTCCCAAGAAGAACAAAGCAAGGGTCTCAAAAGTTAAGTATGTCTTGCTCCTTCCTGAAGTGCCGCATTGGTCAGCCTCAAGTGTTCGTTTAGGGAGCCCAACTCCAGCTGGCTCCGACCCCTCATGTCACTGAGCTCTACATAGGCTTCCTGATAGTGCTTATAAGCTTCTTCTTTCTCCTGTAGCAAATATCATAAAACAGAAGAATAAAAAAATCATAAGAATTCAAGTATAGATGTTTATTCAGTCACAGTTATGTATTTGTATCTATCAATTGTAAGCGTGGTTCACAAACTCCTTTGCCAAGGCATACATACCTTAGTCAGATACTGCACTTTGTCCTGTAAACAGCTGATTTCTCTTTTTAGATACTCAACCTCATTTTCCTTTGCCTTTAACAGTGTCTGAAAGACAATTTTTGAACTCTTGTAAAAAGAGACTGAAACTCTTTCAATATCAGTTAGTTTGTGACATTGCTTGATGACTTGATATATTTCTTTTGCTACATTGTATGTTATCCAGCAGTTTACAAGCATAAAAATCTATTTTGCATTGTTGTAAACACAGTGAATGAAAGTCCGATATTTAAGAGACAGAAGTAGATGAAAAAAATCCTTTTCACCGTATCTCAATAAACTGATCATTCTTTTTCAGGCGACTTTAGCTGGAAAGTCAAAAACTTTGGGGGAAATATTCCCTAAATAGGTGTGTGCAAGAGGAAAAAGTATATGCCTTAATTTATCCAGGAGGTGGCAGCACATTCTTTACCACAAAGCCTCTGGCCATAGATTCCTCATGAAAATAGGCTATAAGGTAAAACAGGTGAATATATACCACCTCTGGGACATTTCTGGGATCATAAGACAAAACAGTAATGAGTCCCAAGGATTAAAGGTAACAGAGCTGGTGGGATGAAGCCTCGCAGTCTTGGCCCTTTTCATGTACTTTCACATTAGTGAAAGGAGACATCTTAACAGTTGTAGTTTTTATTTCAGTACCTCTAAATCTGAGGAGGTGCACCCAGTGTTCCCGATGGAATCCACATCCAACCTCTGCCCTGTGATGAAAAAACGCATTCGACTTATCTCTTCAGCCAGTTTGTTCTTCAAGTCCTAAGGAAAAAATTAGCACAAAAGAGCCTTATATTTAGTTCTGACGATGCAACAAAGAAATATTTCAGGTTCAGATAGAAATGTCCTCTCAGCTACAGTTAACATCAATACAGAATCTAAGATAAGTTCAGAAACCTGGTTCTCTCTTTGGAGCTGCTCCAGCTCTTTCTGCTTGCGGTCTAGCTCCGACTCTTGGCTCTTGCCGCTCCTCTCTGTGCGGCTAAGTTCCTGGCACTTTTGAGAGTAGCGTTCGGACAGCACGTCTAACTTGCTGTGCAGGACATCTGCCTGAGGCCTGACACAAACAAACACACAAGTTCTGGACTGAACAGCAGTCACGCATTTGAGAATCATTGGAGAGTGGCAAACATCTCGAGCCTGCAGCCAGAGCTCTTTGAGTAGATTCCTGTCATCAACATGATACTTACAAGTGGCCTGTGTATGATGAATCCACGCGTGCTGCTCCTCCACAGAGACACTTGGCTTTCTCCAGCTCTCTCTTCATCTCCTCCCTGTGAGCTGCTTTGAGTGCCTCGATAGCTTCAATGAGCATATAGTTGAGAGTGTTTCAACAGGTCAAAAGGTGTCTGACTACAAGCCCCAATGATGAAAGACGTAGGACAAAGAAAATCTAAATAAAACTATGATGCAAAAGGTTTTATTAAAGATATTAGCTAATCTTGAATTAGATAACAAACATATTCTTTTAAAAAGTATACATATGTATATATGGGCCCTTTCATATTATATGAAAAATAGTAATAATAAAAATATGAAAACTTTAGATTTTGGTTATCTAGCATTTATAACTGTGAGATGAAGGCAAACGACTACATTACAAAATGATTGTGGTGTGGTCTTTTACCCACCAGTATCAAGCATGTATGATTGTGTACTTTTTTATCATAAAGTGAATAAGCGGTAACGATAATGAATGGATGGATGAAGCAAAACGTACGGCATTATAAAGAAGAAAGAAGAAAGAATGGAAGAAGACGCAATTTGTATAGAGGTCCTTTAAATGGAGTGAGACAAAGAAGAAAACTGTTGTGTGTCCAGACAAATTGCCAATTATCACATTTTCCAAACTAAAGAGGAGATAACTTGTTATCTATGTTCCTGCATCTCTGATGGTAAGGGGGAAGCATTGGTGCCAGTGGAACTGCAGCTGAAATGTCTGCAAACCCATAATTAAGATACTGCATCTGTTACAACAGAATGACTTAAAAATAGAGACCAACTGCAGGCATCACACTGCAGAGATTTTACCTGGTGCTTCATGAAAAGCAAAATACAACAAAGACCACCAACAACTGCTAGAATCATATAAAAGGCAAAAGGGAAACCAATCGAACCCAGGATGACCCAATATCTTTTGCAAAGAACAAGACTTTTGCTAACTTGCTAACCTTTAGCTGCTGCTTGGCTCTCTTCCTGCAGCATCCTGTCTCGCTCCTCCTCCAGCTCCTTTATCTCCCCAGCATGTTTCTCCCGGAGATCCTGCAGGGCTCTCCTATGGGCTGCCTCCATGGCCTCCAGCTTGGCTCTGCAGGGTGCCCTGGGGCCACAGGGGCTGTTGACATCTACCCCCATTGCCACACGCTCCTTCTTGGCGCTCTCAACTTGCTTTCTAAGAGCGATGGCCTTTACACAGAAAAATAGGAGAAGAAAAGGTCAGAAGACATCACATGGGGATGTTCTTGTATCATCACATGGAAACGTAATGATTTTGCTGGCTCTATATTTTGCAGTGGTAAGGTGCTCCTCTTCATGTTGCTATCAAATGTCTTCCGAGACCCTGATTAAATTATTCACCGCTAATATCTGATCTCTTGGAAAAAAGGTGCACCTCAGCTCTGCAAAATGAAAGAACAGTGCCAAATGGTAGAGCCAACAGGGGACACTGGGATGGGGTCTAACTTACCTCCTTATGAAGAACTTCAGCTGTAGGCGTTTGAATGACTTGGGCGCCATTTATATGTTTAAGAGCCTCCTTTGAATCAGAGACACACATTTGGGCACCACCAATTGAGTGTTCGGCATCTCCAGGACTTGAGTTATAGGTTTGTGAACTAGCTGGAGACTCTGACACTTGCAGAGAGCTTAACTGGTAATCCTGGGGTCCAATGAGAGACTGAGCACTTAAGTCACTGAATGATAATGTCTCAAGTTCTGTCCACTTCCTGTTGACTTCAGAGTCCAGAGCGTCAATAACAGGGACGGGTACACTGCCCTTTTTCAGCTCCATGGAGTCCCATCGGCTGCCCATCTCACTGAGAGGGCCCCCCTCCTCAAACCACTTGTTCCTCTCCTCTAGTCGCTTTGCCTGCTCACGGTCCCAGCCCTCCCCTTCTTCCCTCTCACCGGTCGGAGACAGGTCTGCGCCCAGATCTCCGTCTAAGGTTTGTTGGCAGTGGCCTTCCTGGTTGGAGTTCGCAATTGTGGTGGTGCAGCTGGAAGAAGCAGGTTCATCCCTGCAGGTGAAACGATCAGGCGGTTGGCATGGTGATGGTCTCCGGGAGAGGAGGTTCTCTTTCTCGCTGCCCGAGTCTGATTGGCTAAAGTTAGAATGGGGAATATGCACAGGGGTAGAGTTACACATCCAAAGAAAGACAAGAGAGGGGGTTTACTGAAGGCTGAACACTAAATCAGAGAAGCGTTCAGGTCTATTTAGCATGCGCTTTTGGTTTTTAGGTTATTTGGAAACATTGTAAACTCCAAGCTATGAAGTGTGGTATAATGCTTCCCCCATTTGAAAGGATTTATTTATATCTGATTTAGTTGTTGCCAACAGAAAAAAAAATAGAAAGTATGTTACAGTAACAGTTTGATAGGCTAAAGTTGATTTATGTGTATATTTTCTGTATTTGTTTCTAACTAAATTCCTTAAAGGTATATTATTAATTTTTTAATTTCCCTCACAGAAACTGGGATGAGGTACTCTAAAACCATTTACTTTCACTTTATAAAACACATTTAATCGGTTACCGTTAAATCGGCCCAGAATTTAAATACTGCTGCATCCCTGATTAAGTTTTAAATGTTAAGTGGATTGTCCATATTTAGTACTTAATCTTTGACCTCTCAAAGTGCTTTTAGAGTGTGTATCTCGTCACCTATTCACCCACAAAATAATTTAACATGATAAGGTCTATATTGATTCCTGAATGTCTTTTACATCACTTCCAATAGGACAGTACAGATACAAGTTTGAAATTAATTTTCATGCAGTTTTATATGTCATATTCAGTTATTGAAACTAGATCCAATTTCATCAACTCAGTACTATTCAACCCCATGTTACAG